GACAAGACAAACTTTAGAGTGAGTGAGTATGGTTTTACACCGCTTTTAGCTCTTATATTCTAGTAATATCACGGCGGGGGACACCAGAAATGAGCTTCACACATTGTTACCGTGGTGGGAATCGAACACGGGTCTTTAACGTGACGACAGAAGGCTTTGATCAATAGACAAAGATGATGTGTGAAGCCCATTTCTGGTGCCCCCGCCCTGATATTGCTGGAATATTACTAAAAGCGGCGTAAAATCAAACTCACTTACTCTCCCCGGGTGATACTGCTACAGCATGTTTCAATCGGCCATTGTGAAAAAATTAAAACAAATTGAAAATTGATGGAAAAAGGCTTTCCGATTGAGCTGAGGTTAACCTGTGCTGTGTCTTGTGCGGCTTTTTGCTTCGAAGCATAAGGAGTATAAGGATTTATTCTCCAGTTCAGAAATCCACGTGCAGCCTGTTTTCTTCGTGGCGGGGTATAAGGGATTTTTTGTCCCGCTCAGAAATGCATTTCCCTTCCAGGCGGGATACATAGTATTGTACCAATGATATCTCAACATTCTGACACGGTGGTAAGACAAATGTATTTCACTAATGCGAAGGAGTTATTTTCATAATATTGGGGTCCATATGTATTTTTTCAAAAGACATACACCCCACCCCGCCCCAACACTCACTCCACCTTATTGACGGCGGTGGCGGTTGGGTAGCCTAGTGGTTAAAGCGTTCGCTTTTCACTCCGAAGACCCGGATTCGATTCCCGACATGTGTGAAACTCATTTCTGGTGACCCCCGCCGTGGTATTGCTGGAATATTGTTAAAAGCGGCATAAAACCATACTCACTCACTATTGACGGCGATACAGCTGCATCTGCGCTGTGTGGGTTATACAATGCCGTCTTTAGACATTTTACAGACTCTTCGCTTAGCCGGCATGTCGTGCTTGTTCAAGTATGAATCACTGTGTGACGTTTGTTGTTTGACGGCGGTCTGTAAACAATTCTGGACCAGACAATTAAGTAATTGACATCATGAGCATGAATCCACGCAATTTGGATACGATGACACGTATCAACTAAAGTCACTGAATCTGACCACCCGATCCCGTTAGTCGCAAGCAATGGTTGCTGAAGAATGTGTGACGCATCTGGCTTCAGTCGTCGCGAATAGCTGCAAAATTGATGATATAACGTAAAACTATGATAACTCACACACCAGTCTCAAGGACGCTTGAACATTATTTCGGTTACACCATGATCTGTCAGCTTCATGTGGGAGGTAGGCTCAAGTTAAAACAAGTCACATACGTTTACCGTTTTACCATGAAAGAACTTATCTTCTAACAGACAAAGTGTTATCATCTGGGTTAATCTGGAATTCGAACCAAAGGCTTGGCACACTTACGGGACTCCACTCTTCACACAAAGTGCGACGAGTCGATCACAAGACCACGAATAGCACTGGGATTAACACTTTCGTCAATATTTACACGAATGTTCATATATTTACAAATAATATACAGGAGCAAGGCCACGTGATTTCTTCATCGTGTTTAGGGTTGTGTAAATTATATCACAGTAATATGGTTGTTTACACAAGCCGGTCATACATCGACCACATTGCAGTGTAAGTAGGAAGGGATCGATTCTTCTGGTAGAATGACCAGTTATAATCAGCGGCGATCGATAACAAGTAGTCAACATCTGGCTAGGTGATCGCCTGATGTACAAGACACCTACCGACCGGTGAGTGAGTATGCATTAGCACGTGCTATGAATCATCTATCATCTATAAAACGCAATGTACAAGTCACTTTTTACCGTTACCCTCGCATGTTATTTAGTTAAATGTTACGATATGAAAATATAATAGAAACACATGAAAAGATTATTATATGCATCTTTGAGATGCGATTTTGCGTCTTTAAATTATTAACCTTGTCAATATAAAGGGAAGTAACTCTTGGCGTTGCAGTTATCTCTGTAACCTTACATTACCGTGTATTATATATGGTACTATTGATCGATGTTTAGACTGATGGAAATATGACCTTCAGGTAAAGTAGCAGGTATGCCAGTAAATACCGTATGTTCTTCTGTTTCCCGAGCAGCTCTGTTCCGTGCACTGATTATATAGTGGTTCTACTTAATGGTGAATGAGTATGTTAACATGGAGTGCATCTATATTGGCGACATTACACAACCACTGACGAACTGGGTAGACATTACCATCCTCCTTGTGTACAGCCCAGGGAGGGCCGGGGACAGAATAATATTTGTCCCGGCAAGAACCCATTAGTCAAGACTGTTTAGACAATTTAATCAGTGAGACTGTCATCGGCTGTATTAATGTGCTTCTTGTCGAAACTGGGCGGCCGGGTAGCTTAGTGGTTAAAGCGTTCGCTCGTCACGCTGAAGACCCGGGTCCGATTCCCTACTTGGGTACAATGTGTAAAGCCCATTTCTAGTATCTCCAGGCTTGATATTGCTTGAATATTGCTAAAAGAGGCGTAAAACCACTGACTCACGTCGTGACGGCTCCCAGAAACCCATGTGGAAAAGGGTGAAGTAGGCTGTATATGTTCACAGAGGTATGGCCAAACGTAATACTATAGAGAATACATAGCACTGTGGTATCTTTGAGAGACACCTTAGGGCATGAAATGTTAACGAAGGCGTGTTATCGGCGAGTGAGTATGATTTTACGCCGCTTTAGCAATATTCCAGCATACCACGGGGCACCAAGATGCTGTACGCAAGAGCCGGGTAAAACCAATTGGAAACCAATTCATTAGTGAGTTATAGTTTGACAAGGGGTAATGTTAGTTTTTTAGTTAATATATCCCGAAAGTTCCAAGTGAAATCACCCGACTGAACCAAATCCCAGACTGCCGAACCATTGGCAGACGAACCTTCCTGTGCGCGTATACGTTCTCATCAGCACGTTGGTCTCCACACTAACGAGTTCGAATTAACGGCTTTCACTGTTGATTTTCAACATCAGACTTTTATTATGTTCAGCGTTTTTGGAAAGAATGGATTACAAACCCATGCGTAATTTTCAGATGGCAATGGCTTCCTTTCGAATACCACTGTAAATGTTGGACAACTAATTACCGGATTGGGAATAAGAATCGCCACGTCACCCCGCCACTGCGCTGATCTGCGCTGATTGATAAATACATGTACAGAGAAATCCGTTCTTGTTTATCGTTAAATTAGCTGCACTCGCTGTCACTATCATCGTTGCTCTATCAATGAAATCCTGCAAAATGGATTTTTTAATAAGGCAGCTAATATCATGCTCAATTATAGAGTTGGGACATGGAGTCAAAGCACTTTGATGTTGTAGCCAATCATCTTAATGCTGATGGTGCTAAACCAAACAGGAAATTCATTACACGAAAAGAAATCTGCAGGCTAATGTCCATAACGACACGGCAGAATTGTAATGGCTTGTATACAGACCGCCGTCACATGGCAGGAGTACTGCTGTGCGGAACCGGGCAACAACACTTACACTTTTATGCAAATTGTGTGAGTGGCGGGGTACATGCTTACACTATTTGCGAAAACTTAGTGTAAAGGCCGGTGCAAAATCAGCATGATACTGGTGTCATCATTGATGTTCATCACCGCTCTATTGCCCAATGGAATCCGTTTCGGTGGATAGTCGAGAGTGGTTCTTCTCTGGCGTTGACATTTTGTAGTTTCACCTTGTGTGAATTCATTGGAGTACATATCGATTTTCACAGAGTAAGGGCTAAACTCGGAGCTTGCGATGACTCTATATGATGGTTCATACTCCAATGACCTCAACCAAAGTGAATGTCAATTTTTAAAATTTATGATGTCACTATTTTATGTACCCCGAAGTATGTATAGATCTATACAATTTCATTTAGAACGTGTAACAACAGCCAGTTGTAACGCGGAATAAAATAGTTCCCCAACGAGAGAGATGACAAGTGTATATGCAAGCTCAATTTGCTTTTTTAAAGTTTATTTAAAGGAAATATTAGATAATTTAGATGTGATTATAAAGATGTGTCAAATAGCTAATGAGGTACGTAATTTCATACGTTGCTGTAGGCTGTTAGTCGGGGCATGATCGAGTCGGCAGTGTGGGTATGCATTTCTTCGTTTTGTTAACAAGGGTGGGGGATAGCGGGGGATAGTGGGGGAAAGTGGGGGATAGCGAGGATATGCGACCATGGTATCATGCTAAAGAATTCCCAGGGGTTTCCCCAGGGATGTGGAAGTACTCTGTCAGTGTGTACGTAATTTCATTAAATAAAAACATTCTCGTGCAAAACGTGTAAACGTCAAAATGCGTCGGTCAGTCGCTTATGAACGTCAGTTCCTCCGCCTCGCGTTCAATGGAAAACTGTATAACATGTAAACTTAACATTAAAATATTGTCTATTGTTGAATAACGTTTGTCGCCTCCGTACGACCATTATATAACTTCGAGAAATATGTATGATCCAAATATTCCAATGTATTGCAAGTAAATGACGATGGCATCATCTATTTTCTTTCTGCTATTAACGTTATCGAGTCAGGTGGACTCCTTATAACATGTGTAGTCGATATTTATGCCCGAATTTTTTAATCCCCTTTCACATAAATAGTCGGGGACAATACTGTCTGCAGAATATAACAGACACGATGACTTTACGTATGTGCGTTAGTGAGTGAGTGAGTATGGTTTTACGTCGCTTTCAACACAATGGCAGAAGTATTACAGGGGGCCCGGGTCACCAGGAAAAGAGAAAATCGAACCCGGACTTTAGGCGTGACGAGAGAACGCCACCATGCTGCCCGTATCAGAATGAAACATCTACCATTCCGAACTTAAAATCACACATGCGCATTAATGATGTTAAATTAGACGAAAGATTGCTTATTGTTATGTTACACATCTATGTCATTGATCACGTGATGAGTGTAACCCAATGTTCGTCATTTCACGAGCTAGCACAGTGTGTGTATGTTACAAAATTCTCTGATTAAAAAAACATTTTTATTAAACAAAATACAATGCATATGAATTAATCACATAAAAAATGGACGAATTCAAATCAAATACAATGCAATAAAATGGACGAAGAGGAGACTGATGAAAATGAAGGCGGGGTAAGCACCAAGAGGTATACTGGACACTTATCATACACTCAGGCACCGTGAATGTCATGTAATTAATGCATACAAACGACTTCTTTTTTATTTGATTGCCACACCTTCGAAAGAGTAGCATGTATGTTGCACTAAAAACACATAATTCTAACTTAACTCACAAAAGGTGCCACACCCAACCTATTAGGTTATATTTCCACATCAACCGCCTCCCTGGTCTTGTGGTAGAGCATCTTCCAGGAGGGCGGAGGGTCGTGGGTTCGATCCCTGGCAGCGTCATACCGAAAGACGTTAAAAATGGCCGTCTTCATGTCACGATGTCTTCATTTCACGCCGTCTTCATGTCACGCCTTCTTCATGTTACGCCGTCTTCATGTGACGCCGTCTTCATGTGACGCCGTCTTGACGTCACGCCGTCTTCATGTGACGCTGTCTTCATGTTACGCCGTCTTCATGTCACGATGTCTTCATGTCACGCCGTCTTCATGTCACGCCGTCTTCATGTTACGCCGTCTTCATGTCAAGGCGTCTTCTTCATGTCCCGCCTTCTCCATGTCACGCTGCACCGTTGCTATACATGACTGCACTGTTATAAACCCATTATCACTCGATCCACTTCCACAATTGCTTCACAAGGTCAGTGAACATATTCCGGTGTACGGTCGCTGGTATAGCTGATGCTCCTGTGCGTGGTTGTATAATCCCATCTCATAGCTAACACATTAATGCAAGGGCTCTGTCGGCACCCGGTAGACGACATTGTAATATTTACACTGTACAGTTAATGTAGAACAATCGAACATGTGTCTTGTGTTTATCATTCACAAACATTAAACTGGAAAGCTACATGTTTTTACAAATGATGAGAATAAAACACGCTTTGCGTGCGTTTTAAGCACGTACAGGTAATTCTGTTCCATAGGGAAAGTTGAAAGCTGGAACGAATCTTTGATGCCAAGATAAAAGGAGATCGAAGACAAATAGGCCAAGCACTATTGCACATTTCAGACAGGAACAAAACATTCATTAATTATTTTCTTCAAAATATCGGGGCACGATCTTCAAACAGTATACAAATTATCTCTGTTGTTATTCTCTGGCAGTAGAAAGGGTAAATGCATTCTCTGACAGTAAAAAGGGTGAAGTATATAAACATTTATCATAGTAAAGACATACATTATGTACTGAGTCTGTAATGTCTTTACAGAGCTTCCTTGTTAACCCCACGATTCTTGCTTGCCGACCTTCCTTCTCATATCTAAAGATGTGTTGTAACCAATATCATATTTGTTACAACATTTCTTTAGCATAAATAAAGAAAATGTCAATAATACGACGTTCAAAGGAACGATCGCTTAGTTCTTGGTCATGGTAATTTGACTGGTTAACTGGATTTTTGTACAGGGACTTTTGCCATAGATGCTGGTGTATGAAGCAAGATGTCGATTTCATGAGCGTATTGACATGATGATGTATGATGTCCAATAGCCAATGTTGAAAATGATGAAGGACACTGGAAAAAGGAATCTTGATATTTTCTCCAATCTCCGGCCATAATCCTGCCGACACAGGTATGGTAACCTAACACTGTCCTTAGACGTGGGTGAATCATCGGTCGAATCCTTGTCAGCATCCGGCTTATTGTTGCTGACGCCATTTTCCTTCACTTCAGAGGACCTTGTTCTGCTAGATACTGTACTGACTCTCTGCACACTCTGAAACAAACACTGGAAGACGTTATTTTATGTATATACGTGTGTAGAGAATTTGCCACGGGAGCCCAACAATAATTTTGATGAACACATTTTTCTGAGCATCTAATATTCCCGCAAGTAGTTATTTAATCATTTATATGTAAATACATTTTTTCAGAAGCCCATGCTCAATGTTCGCTTCCTTACTGTTGCAAATTATACTGATCTCATTAAATGATATTGTGTCCTGTTATGGTGGTAAGATTTATCAATGTTAAAATTAAATCAATGTAATTTTCAATCACAACTTTCTAATCAGTTGTTGTTAACACGCAATTCACATGTGATTAATTCTGCCATCATCAATACACCACAAAAGGAGTCCTGAATAGCTTTATCGAACGTCTAGTCGTGTATTCTTGGGGGGAGGGGGAAAATCAATTTCTCTCCTTAGATGTTCACATGAATTGCTGGCTTCCACACATAACATATCTCTCCCATCTGTAGGCACACGCGGCAAGCCTATATTACATATCGTCAACCAACATGGTTCATATTTCTTAGAAGTGTTCTAAAACGTGAAAAGTGCGTGCCGCCAATTTTCATTCCATTTCCTGATCGCTGTTCAACAAATACATGTGCGAGGCTTCCCACAAGTATATGCTCGTTGTCAAGCCATGGATGATAAACCTTTTAATAATGTCAACAAAGTCTTTGTAAGCAACCCATAACTAGCTGATTTACACTTTAACAACATTTGATCTGACGGGCATCACATACAATAACATACGCCCTGTGTATAGATTATTATATATATGATTTTATTAAATGACTTTCAGAAACACGACTTCGTACACAAGGTAAACATGCATTTAACTATTGAATATGAAAGTTATGGATAAGGTGTGTTTAACAGAAGTTAACAGTGTCAATATGGCGTCAACAATAATTGGCTGTCGCATGTAAGGTCAAAGATAATGTATATACGAAGTCAACAGCGATCTGTTTACTAAGTCAACAAAGGCAACGACGCATCCGATATTACGCCAACAATGCTACAGGCTCTTGAAATCGTTATCAGCCTAATGTGGGAGGAAATTCACAAGTAATGCTAGTTGTACACGTGTACTACTTTGGTGAATCACGCATATGGCTCTGACAAACCAATAATGAGGACTTTCTGGGATTCGAACCACGACCATAGAGTCTAGGGACACAACTGAATACTGAAACAAAGAGTATAAAACACACTGTAGAGGGTATTCAGTACTGTGAAGGGTGTTTTGTGCTACTTTAATGTGAAACTACCGGTAGGGCAGGACATGCGTATCCTTTTCGCGGTGTCATCGCTGATATATATCATCATGTGGGGAAACCTGGGAACGCACAGTCATAGGATTTTAGTACGCTCAAGACCATCACACAGCGTGACTTTCAGAGCCTTAAAAGTGGATGACAGTTGAGAGTAGCCTATTGGTTACAGCGATAACTCGCGAAGCTAGTGATCCAGGTTCGATGGCCATTGTGGTGCGTCCCGCGGTGGTGCAATATATGCTAATTACAATATAGATAGGCAATGATACAGCGGTTATGCATACAAAGGGATGTGTGATGAAAAACGTTTACGTACGGATTTATGGTTTTGCAAGAGTATCATGGCCTTCTTGTATCTCCGTGTGAGGACAGCCGCCACAGCGTACTCCATGTAGGAGGCGAACACGAACACAAGGCACGTGGACATCCATACGTCGATGGACTTGACGTATGGAACTTTAGGGAGCTGTGACAGGGCGCCGGAACTCTGCGTAGTGATCGTCAGTACAGTGAGTAGGCCGACAGATATTCGTGCCGGAACTGCTTCATGGTCAATCCAAAACGAGGCCCACGACAACATGACGATAAGCATTGTGGGAATGTATGTTTGGATCATGTAAAAGCCGATCTCCCTTCTCAGAACAAGTTCCGCGTAAATGCACGGGAATGCACCTGAAACATTAATTTATGTAGGAATATATTTTATCAGTGTGCATACATGCTTTTTTATCAGAATAGTATAAGCAATTAAACGTCATCCACAAAATGAGAGCACCGATATTGCATACATTCAGCAAGTAAGGAGAGTGGGAACAACCGCTTAGGATGACTACTACTACTACTACTACTACTACTACTACTACTACTACTACTACTACTACTACTACTTCTACTACTACTACTATTACTACTGTTGCTGCAACTACGATTACTACCACTACTGCTACTACCACTTCTACGACTTTCACATCAATCCCAATTACGTGGATCGATGCTCATGATATCAATCACTGGATTGTCTGGTCGAGACTCGATCATTTACACAGACCGCCGTCTTATAGCTGGAATATTGCTGAGTGTAGCGTTAAACAACAACAAACAAACAAACACTCACTGAGGAAAAGAAAGAAAGAAACAAACAAACGACTTTCCCCACTACTACCACCACATCTAGAACTACTAGCACCACCACCACTACAGGCAAAAAGGTGAAAGCGTTCTTCCCCACCGCTTGGACCCGTCACAAACACATACAAGGGCAAGTCCTGTTCACCTGAACAATCACGGGAATATATTATATGTGTCAAAAAAGGGAATAGCATCGGCCATTATGTCACTGATTCTTCAAATTTGGAATCCTACACATGCCAAGATCTCCCATAAAACCTTTGGAAAGTTTTACTGGGGCCTTTCATGGTGTAACTCAGATCAAACAACTAAAGCATGGTCACAATACCTGTGGCGTATCCCGTGCTGCAGGAAGTGGTGTTCACCCCTACAACTTGGAAGTCTGGGAGATACGCTTCCGGAAGTACATCAACCGTCTGACGTGACGTGGACCACTCGAGCTGTAAATCCTCCAGCGTGTGTCCGTCTGAGACAATGGAAACACAACATACACGTTCCAACATGTGTACCCGCTTGGCTTAAGGTATTGTTGTACAACAACCATTATAGACTAAGACGTTTATGCTGGAAATGATTATACGAGGAGCTCTTATTATTTAACATTGATGTCATTTGTCTTCAATAGGCGCACCTTTGTCGTGCCCAGCTGTTGATGCCCTGTTTTCGCGCGTCTAGTGAACATACAACCAACAGCCACGTGGATATAATACGATCACGAAATATACATGTCAACGTATCTAACAGACAGGAAGCCATTACTTGAATATCGACTTATGGATATGCTCTTGAAGCACTGATCATGACTTCATCAAATGTTGTCTCAACTCTTCCGATTAATGCATAAGGCGGGGATCAATTCTGCCTTGTCAGTTTGTTGAAATCTGATGGCGGATTGTCATTTCTTTGCATTATAACTTGCTACAACTATGAAAACAACAAGAACCCGATGACACTCCCCTCGTGTTGTTTTTCAATTTTTGCTTCTAATAAATGGATTTGGTATCGTACAAATTGCATTAGTACTTTAACCTCGTTGGGTTTCAGGGTTAGAATACGTTCCCAGCACCCTAAATGTAACCTGGCGACTTCGTGGATTGGGTGGACAGCTGTAGGTCGGTGACATGGCTGAATGCTCCTCATTCCTCATCGTACTCGACCCCGCGTGCGTGAGTGAGTGAGTGACTTGGTTTCACGTCGTTTTGAACAGTGCACCAGTTATATCACGCAGACCAAATTAATGTGAGAGGAAAGCCCGAAGTGATGCAGGTCTCAGATGTTTACCACTTAGTGAAACCCACAAGCACGGGTATGTTGCTGAAAAACCTTGGAACATAATTTTGGCAAACCGGGATTCGAACTCACGAGCATAGGTTTCTGGTGTGACCAAGGGACGAAACTCTGAACAGCTCGGTTCATCGTAGCATATGGTTACCTGTTCATTTATAGGCCGCCATATACCTGGAATATTGCTGGTTGTGGCGAAAATTAAACAATTAACAAACATTACTATAACTATAAATATTAATTACTAACTTGAATTATTGAGATGGGAACTCGATACGTCACTATACGCCACAATGTACGAGACATTTTGACAGAATTGTAACTGTCATTCAACAATTAAAATAAATTCGTATTTCATGGGTCCACGACAGCCCAGCATACCAAGGCGCCGCTATTTCCCTTGACTCTTGTCTTTGTCTCCTGACTGGATCCGCTGATTGGAGGTTGGAATCTCAGACATACATCAATGAGAATCACTGCCTAAACATGGAGGTGGGGTTAAATGGGGTTTAATATCGAGTTCAAGATTATTTACTTATATAGGGACGTGCATGTACGTGTGTGTGCGCGTGTCTGTCTGTGTGTGCGTGCGTGCTTTATAATGCCAGCCCACTCAGACACCATGCCGTAGTTTAACATGAATACCCCACTCTGACCAGTCCTTGATTTAGCCCCTTAATGCCGAGCGCCAGACAGGGTAACAACAAGTACCATCTTTCAACGTCTGTTGGGATGACGCGGCCGGGAATCCAACCACCAACCTTCCGCACTCCGTTCAACAAACGTGGTAAACGTCTGCGACCTATTTTAAGTCGGGCTAAAATCTCTTGTTCATACTCTCATTTGGGTGAAATACTGTCCAGTAACGGGGTGAAACTCGACCCACCCACCTGTTGCTTCTTCGTCCAAACGTTAAATATGACACCACCTTTCACCTAAAGAATGCGGACTAGCTCCAATTATAGTGAGTGCGTAAGTTTGGTCTTTCGTCGCTTTAAACATATATCAGTTATATAACGGCGTATTCATGAGGGTAGAAAGTCCGAAGTGCGACAGGTCAGAGACACTCGTCACGAATTGGTGAAACCCACGAGCAAGGGCCTGGCGATCACATACCAAGGCCCATTACATACTTGGAGAACCTACGATCAGGGAATCCTTGCACTACAAAGGGGTGCAACTCTCCACAGAGCCCCGTCATTACGACCTTGTAACCTCAGATACTGTATTCTGACAGTAGGACAACTCACAACTCTCGATCTGTATCTTGCACGTCTGGACGTCGAGGGGGAAGTTCTCCAGAGCCATTAAACATCGAAGTCGAAGGGTGAGCCTGCAATTACATCCATATCGAACATGACCATGAAGCATGCCCTATACACCACACCCTGTAATGTCTGGGGACAGGGCGTGAACAGCCTTACAGCAGTAGCATCACGTTAAAGACCTCGCACTTGTAACAACAGCGTCCTACTTACTGCGACATGTATGCCACTAACAGGTATTCTCTTCTATTTAGCACATCGATTATAATTCAACATCGGTTGGTGTCGGAGAAGGGTTGCAACACACTTGGTGCGCTTTTGTTACCGAATAACGTTTATGTGAAGTATTATAACATCCTTAGGCAATATTAACTTGAAACATTGTTCAGTGCAACACACATGTAGTTTACCTCTATCTTTGCTCCATCACATGGAAGAGCGTTAAGCCCCACAAAACATTAAAAACTCTTATCGATGCACAGTAAACGGAACGTTGTCATGGTAATAATTTATATTTATTCCTACTTAACGTAACAATCCCATGGGATCGCGCACCGCGTGCCTAAGTGTTTGCTGAAGACATCATGGAAAATAAGTTTGAGAATACCAGTGAGAAATATACTGGTTGGTATTTGTTTTCCGTTGCATACGGTAATACTATGACCGCGGCCTATAAAAATCAACTTTGAACAATGCAAACCACTGATTGATAGCATGAGTACTACTCAACACCGTCGGGATACAATGACGCACATGCATCACGACGCCGGGTTAGTAACCTATGTTGGTCGCGAGAGGCGACATATATAATGAATTGGGTGGTCGGGCTCGCTGATTTGCGTGATTGCGTGCCATCGTACCCAAGCGACGTGGTACGTTGCTCATTATATCGATCACAGGATTGTCTGGTCCATCCTCGATTATTTACACCCAGCCGCCATATAGCTTGAATATTGCTGGGTGCGGCGTTAAACAACATACACACAAAACAGTGACACCTAATCAGCCAAGCATCAGAGGGTCATCACCCAGTCTACATTCCAGTCGGCTGTTACTGCCATGAGGACGTACTCGAAATTCCCAGGGGTAGAAATACAGTGATTGTCACTGCGTAAAGCGGTATATATCTTATTCATGCTATGTTCCTTTCAAATCTCTATTTGTAATTCGAACTCAGTTACCTGAATAAAGAACACATAACTTAAAGGTAGCAAGAAAGCGACCACTTCATAAACAGCAGCGGTGCAAGCTTTGTGCAACAAACACACTTACGTCTATACAACGTGAACTCGAGTAATAGTTTGTTTTGCGAGATACGTTTACTCAAAATATGTGTACTACTGACGTTTGCAGAAAGCGAAATTACCGTGACGTATTTAGGCCACGTGCTACGTTTAGGTCTTCCAGCCTTTGAGTGTGACTCGATGGCTATGTTTAATTGTTGTTGTGTAATCCATATCGGGTCAATAGTCTGATGTAGGCATTCCGATTGTCTCGAAATGCAGATAACTCCACACACATATATTACATGTATAAGCCTAACTGCGTGCTTGTAAGCTACTTGGTGTGACAGTACCTAAGGCTGTACAGTAAACTGCCGTCAGGAGACAGGCGTATGAGGACATTGGGTGTCGTCAGATCGTGACTGCGTTCCTCCTTGGTTTGTGGGAAGAACAGATCTGGCACCCACAACTGAGACAGACGTTTGTGGCTGACAACGATGCTGGTGTTGAAACTGTCAAAGGAAAGACGCGGGTCCCTCCACTCTTGGCGCAGGAATAACGTGGTGTAGAAATCCTGGAACAAACCAGGAAAGTCTGCATTATCAACATCACGCCCCTTTTGGAATCTGTTTCAAGGCGACCGCCTCCGTGATCTTGCGGTAGAGGGTCCGCCCGGGGAGCGGAAGGTCCGGGGTTCGATCCCCGGCCGCGCCATACCAAAAGACGTTAAAAGATGGTACTTGCGCTGGTAATGCGCTCAGCATTAAGGGGCTAAAACAATGACTGGTCGGCTCGGAGTCAGTATACTGTGTCTGAGTGGGGTATTCATGTTAAACTGCGACATGGTATCTCAGTAAGCTAGCACTATAAATCGGCATCAGTCCGGACCAGTACAAGCAGCGACACACACACATAAGTGCAATAATCTTGGACGCGACGTTAAACCCAATTTCACCTCACCTTTTGCGATAAACAGTCATCATATATTGCTAAAAAGGCTTCCTGATGACAAAACCATGTTCAAATACAAGTACACTTTTTAAAGAATCTAGAAATACTTCTCTTAGCAAGGGGTACTTGGGACCTATCCTTTCCCTGAAGAGGCTTTAAACAGCCTCGGCGTGTTCTGTCAAGAACGCATGTCTGTTATGTTTTCAATCTGATTTCGATAGAAAAGGAATCAATAAGAAAGACAACCACACAGAACGGTTCCATTTGAATAAGCTCAAATAGCTCTCGAGTCTCTATTGTTCAGATTTATAAGAATGGCGTTGAGAAAATACAAGCAAAATGCTTCATGAAATTTAAAGGTAATTTAGGACCCACTACGACAAATACAGCCTTTGAATTCATTGAATATAACAAATACATTTTTATATCTACTACCTGCTGAGTGTGTTAATTATATGTTCTAGCACTGCACACAAAACCTGATATGAATCTTCAGTAATAGCCTGTCAGCATTAAACAGCTGTGCGACCAAGCTGATTTATTTGACTCCTACCCCTTTTTGCCCAAAGCAGTAGTCCCTATGCCTACCATGTCGGAGTCATTCAGCGGGCCTAGGGACGTCATCAACACGTCGACGTTCACCTTTGTCGGTGACCCTGTAAACATATGAACAGTAGTAGAATACAACACCATGAAGGGACAGGTTGACATATCAGTCACAACACAGAGACATATGGGGGCACACTGTTGTTGGGATGTTACATTGTTACAACCAATGTGTAAAATGACCGAAACTGTCACTTGGGCAATTTACAAAACGCCAACGTCATTTTACATTAATTTTTCCCATTTAGTATATTATTTGATCACCCAGTGACTGAAAATGATAGGATAGAAAGAAAACGAAAGTCAATGTATAATATTTTTTTCATTTTCGGTCTTCTAATCCTAGCATGCTTTTCAACTTCTTAATAAGTTTTAGTCATTCTGACGGGAGCATAATTGTACAATGACTGAAATGTTTTGGCGTTTTTTTAAATTGCTTAAGTGAAAATATCAGTCGTTTGACTGTCACAGAATTAAGCTAGATGTTCGTTAACTCGACATTGAAATACCCAAAGGGATAAAGTGAGACTTGAGTGTTTTACCACTTTGAAATTGTGATGCATAACTGTCTATCAATGTGTAATTTGCAGCGAGTTCATATCGAGTTAACTCACCAGAATATATAAAATTTTAATTAATCGTGGTCTGGATCTGGAAGATTAAAACAAGTTAAAGAGAAACCATTTTACACAAGGTTTGTACACAATTTGGTCCGTACTTTCATTATAGATCACTAGTTGAACCTCTCCTTGGAGCATGTTAAAAAACCCTTCTATTATTTAATACTACTACTACCTGACCTTGTTTTTTTTATAAATCCAAGGAAATCATTTATATCATCAAATTCTCTGTCCCTTTTGACATGATGTGACTGACATGATTCAAACATTCAGGAAAAACATGGCAAATATGTGGACTTCGCTTACGAAATGTCACGTTTGCATCCCAAGTATCACGTTGTCCGACTCCCCGTAGTTCTCGGTGCCTCAGGTTTGGTACCTCCCAATCTGTTGACTGACATTGGGAGAGTATTTGGGTTTGCTGCCCGACTCACGCTCTCGGTTATGCAGAAGGCTAACGATTTGGAAAATGTTCACGTTCTCCGAAATGTTATTATTGAGGTATCCATGTTAAACTAAGGAATGGTATCCTGGCAGAGCTTCCTGGGAGAAGCCCCATTCGCTGTCTGCGCTGTAGAGGGTACAATGGACATGGGTAGATGTTGAGCCTAAACAGCAGAATCACGCGAACCCTCTTTGTGGTATTTAGTTTTATCTGTAATTAATAATAATAATGATAATATAAAAATGTGTTCTGTCTGAGCTGATGGCTCCACCATCTGTTGTTGGCCTGCAGATCGCAATGTCCGTTCAGGTTGGTAAACGTTCTTGTAGGTACAATGGAGCCAGACGATGGAATGATTTGTAGACATTTTACCAGTTTCTTGAACGCGATTCTCTGTCTCACTGGTCGCCAATGCAGTTCTTTGAGGACCGGTGTTATGTGATCGCGCATTCGACACCATGTGATGAGCCTGGCAGCTGTATTCTGTACACGCATATGCCCAGATGAATGTGCTGAATGCCATGTAATAGTTGAATCTTGATTTGACAAATGCAAGGACAAAGCATTGGCCAGTCTTTGTCCACCTACCTACTGATTTGTCTTATATATGTCATCTGATGGTATGCATATTTGCAGATGTCATTAACATGATTTCTTAACCATTTCCGAACCGTTATCTATAAATAAACTACCATTGTTTGAAGGTCCAGGTCTGATGCACGTGCACCAACATGACAGTGAAGATATCCGTGTTTGTAAGTTACTGTAGATTGGCATTTGACATAGCAGGAAGAACAAAGCACAGTGTCAGAAATGGACACCACAGCAATCGATACAAATATTGTCAAGAAGAGACAGACCATTACGATTGTCCTGTACATTATTTATTTAGATCTGACCTTATCGGAACGTAGACAGAATGCACTCAGCAGCTTTCATTATCTGTGATTAACGGTTATCATAACTAAAGAGTTCACGCCCCAATCACTGCATCTTAAAGATCACCAAACCGACAATATATTTTGTTTTTGTCCAGGCCTTAAGGACATGTATAACATATGGTATACGTACTGAGAGAAGTAATCTTGTCTGGTTTACTGTTAATATAATATTTCCAAGAATCCCGTGTGAGTGGCTCAAGTCAGTACAATTTCTCACAAGCGTATAATAATAATAATAATAATAATAATAATAATAATAATAATAATAATAATAATGTAGTAAGTTAAACAAAAACAGAGTCGATTAAGGGCATGACTGGCCTTGCAACTGACCAGGGGTCACTTGTGGTCTGATGGTTGGATCATACACAGATTCATCTAGCAGGCGAGTCAGCAGATACCGAACGGAGGTGTCGTTGCCTGCATAGCTTACTCTGAAACATAGGAAATGAACGTATCACATACGCACCTGTCGTTCATATATCGATCAATACTTCTTTGTGAGCCCTGAAATGTTTGGAATTCGAACTCATCAACCACCGCAATTGAAATGGAATACTATGGGCTCATGGTCTTTCTGTAAAAGCATGATTAATTCAATCTCATTAAAATCAGATCCTTGGTTTCGCTATCGCTAAACAAAGATCCGAGGACGTCCCAACCTCAGTATGTATAAGAGATAAACCAAGGCCAGGTCAGCTCGGAGATCGTGTATTGTGTCATAGTCGGGTATGTTAAAGCAGCCACATCCACACGCAATCCCATTCAATCTCACCTATCCATTAGACGGATTTTTAAAGAAAAAATATAAACATTAGGTTTTCCATTATGCATAGGACATATAGAAGCCTCGTAGCATATGTGATGGCACCCTAACATCTGCCAACGACGTTGTATTGACACCATTCAGACACACAATCATGAGACCGACATGTCCAAGATATATTCACAGCGCTTTATCATTTGTATCGGTCACTCTAGACCGAGTTCGCGGGATTCCACCAAAGTGGTAAATGTCTAAGACTTGCATCACTTTGGGCTTTTCTTTCCTTGTGAAACTGACACGACGTGAAATAACTGAACTCCTTGTCCCAACTCAATCATTGTCACGAATGGCTTATGAAATAACATATGCCGAGAACGCATTGGAGGATAAACTCCAACGGCTGAGACTCACACACATTGTGTACATAATGCATTCATGTCTGAGACTCACACACATTGTGTACATAATGCATTCATGTCTGAGAATCACACACATTGTGTACATAATGCATTTATGTCTGAGAATCACACACATTGTGTACATAATGCATTCATGTCTGAGACTCACACACATCGTGTACATAATGCATTCATGTCTGAGACTCACACACAATGTGTGCATAATGTATTCACGTCTGAGACTCACACACATTGTGTACATGATGCATACATGTCTGAGACTCACTCACAATGTGTGCATAATGCATTCATGTCTGAGACTCACACACAATTTGTGCATAATGTATTCATGTCTGAGACTCACACACATTGTGTACATAATGCATTCATGTCTGAGACTCACACACATTGTGTGCATAATGCATTCACGTCTGAGACTCACACACATTGTGTGCATAATGCATTCATGTTACACACACACATTGTGTATATAATGCAATCATGTAACACACACACACATTGTGTACATAATGTATTTATGTCTGAGACTCACACACATTGTGTACATAATGTATTTATGTCTGAGACTCACATACATTGTGTACATAATGCATTCATGTTACACACACACACATTGTGTACATAATGCAATCATGTAAGACACACACACACATATTGAGTACATAATGCATTCATGTTACACACACATTGAGTACATAATGCATTCGGGGGCACGGGTGGCCCAGTCGTCTAGGGCGCCGCAATTCGCTGTGCAGAGTTGCGTCCCTTTGGCACGCCAGAAACCTATGATTGTGGGTTCGAATCCCGGTTCGCCCCGATTATGTTTCTAGGTTTGTCAGCACCATACCCTTGCTCGTGGGTTTCACCTAAATGGTAAACGTCTAAGACCTGCATCACTTCGGGCTTTCCATCCACATTAAGCTGACACGCCGCAACTGGAATACTGTTAAAAGCGGCGTAAAACCCACTCACTCACTCACTCACTCACATAATTCATTCATGTTACACACACACATATTGTGTACATAATGCATTCATGTTACACACACACACTGTGTACATAATGCATTCATGTTACACACACTGTGTACATAATGCAATGTGTACATAATGCATTCATGTTACACACACATATTGTGTACATAATGCATTCATGTTACACACACACACACATTGTGTACATAATGCATTCGTGTTACACACACATATTGTGTATATAATGCATTCATGTTACACACACACACATTGTGTACATAATGCAATCATGTAAGACACACTTTGTGTATATAATGTATTCATGTAACACACACTTTGTGTATATAATGTATTCATGTAACACACATTTTGTGTATATAATGTATTCATCTGGCACACACACATATTGTGGACATCATGTATTCATGTAACACACACACATAGTGTACATAATGCATTCATGTCTCAGACTCACACATGTTGTGTACATAATGCATTCATGTTTCAGACTCACACATATTGTGTACATAATGTATTCATGTAACACACTTTGCAAAAAAACAATAGCTTTCATAACATACTTATTTGATTAATTAAACTTGACAGATGCTCACAGTCTAGAAGTTTGTATCGGAACTTAAATCAGAATCATTCATTTATATATTTAAACTTATTTTCCACGGAGAAATAGAGCAATGATGAAGAAATAAGATCTGCATCAATTTTAGACGATTATTATACTCATTCCATTTTCAACTGCACTCGTTTTTCGTCTCAATACAAAGAGGTTTACCAACATATAACAATACCAAGCATATAGCATTTCTGTTTATGTTGAGTCATTCGATCCTTCAATATAATATTCACCAGTATTCTTGCATCCATAGGGGCGGTCATGTAGCCTAGTGGTTAAAGCGTTCGCCCGTCACGCCGAAGACCCTGGTTCGATTACCGACATGGGTACAATGTGTGAAGCCAATTTCTGGGGTCCCCCGCAGTGATATTGCTAAAAGCGGCGCAAAACCAAACTTACTCACTCACTCTTGTATCTAAAGTGTTATTTTTTCAAGTAAGATTAATGTTAGATTTATGAGTCAGACGGTTTGAATTCGTGAAGTTCCAACTCTTGTGGAGAACATTCCGTTTTGAAAGATAATAATGTTACAGAAATGTGTGAAAATGATTTTGAAACATTGATTAATATTTCCAGTAAATGCCATACCAACACATCCAAATGTCAACATAGTAATGACCCCTTTTTCACCCGACAAATTCTTAAACCAGTCAAAGACGAATTCAAGAAGTTCCACCGAACTGTTTTGACTGGAATATCACAATGCCAGGAACAAACCCTGACTTTATGACTTGTTATCCTTCAATCAACCGTTTCATGCATAACTTATGTAAGATGAACGCACATGCTTCAAGAAACTAGCCTAGAACTCCAAGGAGAAACATGGTCGTATTGGTTTGTGACAGAAATCACATCCAAATTTAATGTCTGTTAATGGGGTAACTCAAAGCGCATACGTGTTGTGAATTATAGATGGTGTTTCAAATACAACACTTTACTGCCATTGTTTAGGGAGTGTTTGCTTCCCAAAGTCTTTGTCATGTGCAATTATTCGGGCAAAACGTTTAATCTGTATCTGATCCAAAGTGTTTGCGTTCTTTTCTTCAGTGAGTGTTTATTTGTTTGTTTGTTTAAGCTCGCACTCAGCAATATTCCAGCTATATGACGGCGGTCTGACTATAATCCAGTCTCGACCAGAAAAAAGTGATTGATATCATGAGCAACGATCTACGCAATTGGGATACTGTGACATGCATCAACCAAATCAGCGAGCCTGACCCGATTTTGTTAGTCGCCTCTTACGGCAAGTACAGGTTGCTGAAGACCCCTTCTAACCCGGATCTTCACGAGTCCCTCGGTGAGAGAGTGTTTTAACTCCACTATGAACAGCATTTCAGTCATATCATTGACTGTCAGATAGGTTTGTGAGGAAAGTCCAAAATAATGCAGGTCTTGGGCGTTTACCTCTGTTGGAACCCACGATGTCTGGTACAGACAAAACTTGAAATATAACCAGGAACTATCAGGGATTCCAGCCCACGATCACAGGTTTCTGGCACTCCCAAGGGAGGCAACCCTGCAACCCTTGTAGACTGGGTCACCTGCCACCACCACACCCTACACCCGCTGATACCCGGTAGACAAGGAGCTGAAACACTGCCAACACCAGCGGTAGAGGGGAATCACACCCACCGTCAAACAGCAGTAGCCTCGCTACGAAATGCAGCAAACAAGGCCGTGAACCGTCAGCTACAAAGGCATATATAGTGACGTTAACATCTTAAGATTGTTTGTACAATCATGGACTGTGAGAATATTCCAAGATTGTACAGGAAGACCCTCACGGTTTTTTTTTATCCCTATTGCAAGATTGTACTAACAAGCATTGGTGTCAAAACATTTGCGTTTCATGTAGTGCCATTAACGTAGGCGATGATTGCTGATGCAACAAATACAAGCTGGCAGTATTGTGGCAACATCTGCCTGCTCCATCACTACAGTCACCCTGCCTGGCGCTCGGCATTAAGGGACTAAAATGAGGACTGGTCGTCTCGGAATCAGTATACTGTGTCCGAGTTGGGTATTCATGTTAAACTGCGGCATGGTATCTCAGTGGACTAGCATGATTAAATCGGTATTAGTCCGGACTAGTACAAACAGCCACATTCACACAAGTGCATGCTATATGGGTTCAATAATCTTGGTCGCGACGTTAAACGCCATTTCACCTCACCTCACCTCCTACAGTTGCGCCAATGTTTACTCTGGCGTGTTGGGTATATATTACACTAACATCTAGTCTCTTTAATGAACCGGGGAGCACGGGTTGCCCAGTCGTTTAAAGTGCCGCGATTCGCTGTGCAGAGTTGCGTCCCTTGGACACGCCAGAATCCTATGATTGTGGGTTCGAATCCCGGTTCACCCCGATTATATTTCTGGGTTTCTCAGCACCATGCCCGTGCTCGTGGATTTCACCGAAGTGGTAAACGCCCGGGACCGGCATTACTTCGGGCTTTCATCCCACATTAAGCTGTCACGCCGTGATATAACTGGAATACTGATAAAAATGAACCATTTTTACAGAAACAAACAGTTATAAATTTAATAAAATATAATAACATAGAGCCCAGAGACATGAAACTGCAGTAATCTAGACGAGCCAAATGTTATAGACTTGCATGGGCTGTTTTGGATATATTT